GCATTATTACTACCTAAATGTTCCTGGAGTAAATCCAGCTCTCTTGGATGGAAGGCAGCGATACATTCCAACAACTTGTACTCTGTCACCAGGCTAGGGTAAACAAAACCAAGCTTAGACCTTGAAAATTGAAGCTTTCGCAAATCATTCTCACAAAGTGCAGATGACATTAGAGGGATATGAAAATACCTTGCACTTATCTACCAGGTCGTTATCAGAAATGATGTCCACTGAGCGAGGAAGCTGTCCTGCTGGGGCTTTCTCAGGCATTTCCTGTGTGAAATAATACAAGCTTCCTTCATAAAAAATTAATGTCAATACAGACACACAACTTGACTAAAGTAGAGCTGACAAACTGTACCAGACTAATTCTATTCATACTGACATTTCAAGAGTTAGCCCTTTGTCAGAGCTCTGATGAAGGGCTAACATTCAAAATGTCAGCTTCTCAACTCCTTACAGTGGCCAATTTACAATTTCAACTTAATTGATATCACCAAATTGATATCCCTTTGTTACCCCCACCGACGCAGCACCACAGTTTCTTTAGAAACTTTCACCCTTGATTCTATTCAGGTTCACTCTTTCACTTCAAAGAGCACACGAGCCAAATTATTTCTCCCTTTAATATTAAACCTTTACACTCTTACATCAGTCTGCATATTCTCCATACTGTTCTCTATACATTTCCTAAGAAGCTGACAAGGAGAATTTGTTTAACAATCAAGAGCTTCTTAGTTAGTGATCATTTCCATTTTTCTCGTAATGTTAGGGGTGATATTGTAAGGAGAAATTAAATGTTGGTCACCTCAGTGGCCAAGGGTTCATAAACTTTGAAAAACAAATATATATATACATATATAATGTGTGGTAGTCAGAAAAAAACAACTACATATGCATCCCTACAGACCTGTTTTGTGGTTGCCCACTCATCAGGGGATTTTAATTCGACTACCACACATTATACCCACTCTACTATTTGTATCGAGCACTGTTTCACAGACACCAAGTTTAATCCCTATATACATATATATCGATTTCTATGCTGGCAGTAGTTTACAATTAATAAAGGAGAAATTTTACAGATGCCCCATCCCCCCATTGCCAGTAAACAGGCCAGACCACATCACAGTAATCTCGTGATGTGGGTTCTTTAATGTCCCCAGCAAAAATTAACTAATTGATAAGTGCAGGAGACGGGACCTCCAGCTTTACGTCCTATCCGAGAAGACGAAGCAATGTGAGTGAAGCGTCTTGCTTAAGGACACAACGTCACACCACGTTAAGCCCCAGCCAGGACTTGAACCCGGGCCATCTGACCCAGAGTCCAGTGCACTGACCACTGGACTACTCACGCCACTCAAAAAAGAGAGATGATAAGTGGAAAAAACTATTATGCTGGGGATATTATTTGATTTAACACCTGATCCTCAAATTATAAATGTCTAAAGGACAGCGAAAAGAATGGGTTGTGAAATCTTAGCAGGAGAGGGGTTAAAAAAGATGGAACCAGATCAAATGAGTCAGTACCTGCAACTCGATGGCGATAAGAGAGGATCAGTTAAAGCCATGTGAGTGATAACTGGTCATAGTTTATTTCTAAAGTTTTACCTGAATTGTAAATGTCTGGTGATCTTTGTAGGTCGATAAACCATACTCAGTCTCCAAAGGATTCCCATCTTCATCCTGCGGACACAAGAATAATGTTGATTAAAAGTAAAATCCCTGTGACACACGATAACTAAGCTACAGGGTAAAGTCACATCCAAATTGCATAATCTGTGAAGCAGCAACACTGTTAAACTTTTCTAACTGTGTAACATAACAATATACACTGAATGCAAATATGGCATCCAATTTGAGTTGCCATTGTTCTGGACTGACTAGCCTCTCACACATGTAATAATCCTTTTGTATTTCCACGTGAAGACGAGGCTAGTCAGTCTAGAACAATGGAAATTCAAATTGGACGCCATATTTGCATTCGGTGCATTCTGTGATGACAAACTTACCAAATGTTTCTGAAGGTGCTGACAAGGAGAATTTGTTTAACAATCAAGAGCTTTGGTAGTTAGTGATCATTTTCTTTATTCTCGTGACCTTAATGTTTGATTTAGGGGTGATATTGTGAGGAGAAATTACATGTAGATGCTGGTCACTCTCAGAAATTAAAGGGTTAAACAGCTAATGAATGACAAAGGTTACCTTTAAGTATGATGCACGATCCTTCGCAGTAGATAGTGCTATTTATGCAACAGCGAAAATCAGACCTGACAAAAATCAGGCCTGTACGGGATTCGAACCACTGACCTCTGCGATACTAGGGCAGCGCTCTACCAATTGAGCTAACAAGCCAACTGGGAGCAGGCCGTTAAGTTGATTCGTAATTAACCCGTGATGATAAAAGGTTACCTTTGTTGGATAGACTGAACTTGTTGGGAAGGCATCCAGAGATGTCAGATCTGTGTACCGGCGAACCAAAGTGTTCTTGGTCTGGGGGCAGTAATGAACACTGCGCACAACTTTAGGCCTCACAAGCGAACCTGAAAAAGATAGAAAAGATAGAAAAAACAAATCAATACTACAACACCTCTAGTTACCTTCTTGAAAGTCTGAAAGCTGACAAATCCCTGCTAAAATCAGCTCAAATTAAACACATTAACTCTTTACTCCCCAACATCATTATGCATGTTCTCTATAATATTCTCTAAACATTTCTTGAGGTGTTGACAGGCATACTTTTGCGATAAGCACCACCCTAAACTTTTTGCATGGATATGATACAGTTGCTGTGTGCACCGAAAAATACCCTGAAACTCTGAATAGTTCAAAATGTCTGTAATTAACACTTATCTTACATTTGGTGACAATTCCCTCTACACAGACCATGTTTCCAATAAAGCGAGCTGACAGCGACCTGGGAGTCACATGCTTAGCACCAAAGCTACAAAAGCACAGAAATGCAGTTTAACTAATATGGCCTACCACTACATTTTGCACAAAGGAGATAAGTGAAGGTGAAAATAGACCCTAAAGAAAAATTCATCAATAAAATCACCTTCCATCAAATCCAATGAAGAACTCTTCATTTTTCTTGCTGTAAGCTGTATCTGCAGAGCTCACAAACTCCTTGAGTGCATTCTAAAGAGGGAAAATGCAATTCTTTACTCTTTAACTCCCAAGATCTGGTTAATTCTCTCTTCTAGCGACTAAATATTTCCTTGTAAATACATTATGAGAATTTGGTGTTAGATCTTCATGATAAGTTTGAGTATTCTCAACACCTTTTTGCTGGATAATGTATGGATATTATTGGGAGAAGTTGTATGTTTATCACCTCTGCGAGTTATTTAAAGGGTTTATCAAATTATATATCAATTTATTTCAATCTGTGTGTTGATATTAGAAGAGGATTGAATAATATTAAAAACAAAAATTGCAAAGAAATACCTGGAATGCAATTAACTCCTCAAAGGAATTGTTGAGAATTCTGAAACAAGAAAAAAAAGAAAACACTTTGTTGTTATTGTGTGTTTTAGGAGATAACTATGAGAGTACCGTTTGAGCCTTTGGAGATTTAATTTAGCCCTTGTGCTCCCAAGATCTCATCAGTAATTCTCCTCACTGTCTGCAGAACAATTCTTGTCGTGTGAGTTTGGAGAATTTGGTATTGGATCAACTAATAATCCCTCAATTGATATGTTCTTTATACTCTTAACCTGATTGCTTGACATTGTGTTGATGATGTAACGAAAAATTCCATCTTAATCACTCATGAGAGGTAAAGTGTTAAGGACCTTAACATAAGCTATCACAACACAAAAAATATCTCATCTAACAAGTGTCTCGACCTCACCTTCGCAGCAACACATTTTTCGCTATCATGAGTTTTCGTTCAAATTAAATCGAGAAGCCTTAAGTAATGTCTACACTCACTCCACAGCTCTTTTCTCGTTTTTCCTCCTCAGATCGTTTATGTTAACAATCAATCTGCACTCATTTCTGCTGATCATGTCACGAACTTTGCCATGATAAATTCCTTGATCCTCCTGCAAGAAGGGAATATGCACTCATGTTCAAAAATAATAGAAAACATTATCAAAAGCCAGCTTCAGAAAAAAAGATTCTTTGTGCTAATGGTCTACGGATATTTTGGTATAACTGCCGTTTTCATACAAAAGTTTCACAATAAACTCCACGATGGTGGTCGACCAGAAATATTGTTAGTGAAAATCATGCAAATAAGCCGTGTACAAGAATTAAATTTTCCCGGGAAGTTAACATGTGATTTGACATAAACGAATGTTAATCGGAATAGATGTTGGCAAACTCTATTGAAGAAATGACAAGCTAACATTGATAAATTAATTGCTTAAAGTAAAAAGTCTTGACCGCCTGAAATCCAAGGACATCCAAATGGAAATCAATGGTGCGTTCACCATGCATGTGCGAGACAAACTCGTTCGCTCACCTGGACTACACGTAGGATTTCATAAAAAAAATGAACTCTTTACTCACATCGTCATCCAAGAAGTCAAGATACTCTCTCTGGAGTTGACGTAGATACTGTTCATTGTCTAAAGCCATCACTAAATACGACGATCTTTCCAAATTTCGAGCTCTTCTACGCCAGAAGTTACCTGATCAAAGCTTCGACTTGAAAGCAACTGTTTTACCACGTGATCAGATTTCGCGCCAAAATATCTAGTAACCAAATATGGTAATGGCCTAATTTGGCAAGGAAGAACTGGAACATTTTTCGTATATGACCAGGGTGGGAAGAGGTTAGCAAAAAAATACTTATTATGTATAAACATATGAATAATACCCCGTCAGCTTTAAGAAAAAGGTGGTATTTCAAAAAATAATTTGTATTCCCCTTGTTCGCATCGCACTATTTTTCGAATTTTCTTTCTTCAGATTACTGACTTCCCTAATTAAATGAAAGAACTTTTGACGGATTTACTCAATCTACCCCCCTTAAAAGTAGGCAGCTAACCCAATCCAATATGGCGGGTGAAAAGGCAGTTCGTGATGTGTGTGGTGTCTACTCTCGACTTTTTGACCACAGGGCCATCCTGCAAAATGAATGTAAATACGTGATTCGTGAATTCGAAGGCAAAAGAAATGATAGAGACCTTTCAAGACTGACAGAAGCGTCTCAAAGAGCAGATGAAATTCAGTCTAAAATCCCAGAGTGCATTCAACTAGCAGACCTGCTGAATGATGTGCAAGATCAATTAAAAGATGCTAGACAGCGGTGTCATAATATTTTGGAAAGGGAAGACCAGGATCCCACTAACATGAGGCGAGATGAGATCAAAGAAAAGTCCAAGAAACAATGGGATGTGTTTTTGAAAGAAATGGATAAAGAAGAAGAAGGCATAGAGAAAGAGTTTCTGGCAAAATCTCTAAAACTGAAAGAAAAATATGGTTTGATAGCGACCACTGAATCGACTTAAGGAGAAGAAATACGTTCATGGGATGAAGTATGTCTATAAACAAGAGTGTGAATTATTGCTACACTCTCAATGGAAAGAATAAATGTGTGAGATGAATGACAAAAAAAAATCAGTGGTAGACTTGTGAACATCTCTGAAATTTATAAGGATGCTAGGTATGTCCTGGGACCTGGAGTAGGTCTAGGTCATGTACATGGACCACTTTCATAAATGGCTGCCATATAAATATTCTTTTGTTTAAATTTAAATTAGCCCTTCTGGCCTCGCTTGAGATAATGTATTCTTTTGAATTTTGTACTGGAGAATGAGGCCAGTGGGGCTAATTTAAATTTAAACTAAAGAATATTAATCCGGCAGCCATTTATGAAAGTGGTCTGTAGGAGGTTTCAACAAGAGCTAAAGGCAGTCACCAGTAGGGGTGTTTGGGGGTCTTGTTCCATCAAAATGTTTTAATCCTCTACATCTGAACATCAGTTTGAATATACTCCATGCTGTTTTCTACACACTTCCATGAGGTGTTGACAAGGATAATTTGTTTAGCAATCAAGGACTTCTGTAGTTGGTGATAAATATGGCTTATTAACCAAGCATGAGGTCAAGATGGCTGGATATTGGCCCTGTTCTTGTTTTGCATTTTTATGGACCTAGACAAAGTCGAGGTCCATAAAAATTTGAAAAAAGAAGGAGGCTTATATCCAGCGATCATGACCAAACAAGCTTGGTTAATAAAGGACTTATTACATTGCAAAAATATTTTGCTTTACTGAACAAGAATTAGGAATGACTTGTTTACTTTGAGAGCCTGGAAAGAAAGCCAACTGTGTTTGTAGCACAACAAACTCAAGAGAGTCGTTTCTGTTTTCTTTGTTTTGACTATCTTCTGCCGCTTTTTGTGTTTCTATTGCACAAATTGTCCAAGAATTACGAACAATTTTCTAATTCTATTTTTTTCATGCGCGGAATTAATGCGGGCAATACTGAGTGGCCAAGATGGGTCCATCTTGCTCACTTGGGTAACCAATCACAGTACATGATTCACTTTATCTTGCCCATGGGCACTGTGAGCAATGTAATAATTTGCTTTATCATCCAACTGTGTTTAGTGGAGTATCTATAGCACAAGAGACAAGTACAAATATCACTCTAGAAATATCAGTGAAATTTCCCAGTACAGGGCTTGAAATTGCGACCGATACAGTTGCCAGTGCAACTAAAACTTTTAACTTGGCGACTAAAACTTCGAGTTTAGTCACCACTTTGGCAACTATGAACAATTGAGAATATTAAAAAAACCTGAAACGTGACATTTGTTTTTCTCTATGAACCAACTCTTGATTGTGTTGTCAATTTCCTGTGAAAAACTAAAACACACAAAACAAGCCAAAACTCCTGGAATCTTGGCCTCAGTTTATGAGCAATTAATTTTCCAGTGAAAACACTCTAGAAAATCAGCGTAATCCGACCAACAGATTTACATGGAGATCAGGAGGTCCGGTACTAAATGGTTATCTGCCATGTTTGATGCCTTCGTATCTTACAATTTCTTGCATGCAATTTGACAGATTCTCTTTCCTAAAGTAACCCTGAAATGTTCTTATTACTTTTTTTGCTTACTGCTTAAGGTAAGATTGTCATGCAAAAGTCTCTCTGAGTTTCTCCTTTTGTGTTTTCATGTTTTAAGTCATTCAAGATCGAGTATTCGGTCTATCCCACAACTGCAGCCACAATCTACCAGAAGCTGCGAGCAACAATGCCAATTAAATAAGGCTCTAATCTGAATTTCTGTTGTTGTACTATCTGGCAACTGCATTTTTGCATTTGGCAACCATTTTTTGTCTGATAAAAAAGGCAACTTGCAATTTTTTTTAATTTTGAGCCCTGCTGTACTGAAATAATTTGGCGTGTTGGATAATAAATCTCTTATTAGATGTTTTGTTGTGTAGTATCACTAAGTATTTTTACTTGTTGTTTGTATTTTGACTCGCCCTACAGGCTCATCAAACCACAGCACAACTTGTAAAAACACTTACAACAAAACAAAACGTCTATTAAGATATATTTATTCTTATGAACTTAATTTGCAATTTTTTGATGGTGATATTGTAAGGATAAATTAGATGCTAGTAGCTCTTAGGGTTCAGTGGATTAATTCTTTTGAGTTATTACAAAAGGCCACTCTTCCGCACTTTGAGGAAAAGTCAGCATGATTTAATGGGAAATTTATATATCACTCCTTTAAATGGTATCAAACTGATGAAGTGATAGAAAGTGTGGTCTTCATGTCCCATCACGAAGGTTATACATCATGACATATTCACCCAATGAATAAAGGGGTGCACTAAAATAAAGCCTTGAATGACCTCTGGTGAACTGGTAAATAGGCCTTTTGCAGCTAAGCCATCACGTGACCTACTTTTCATGAAATTATGGGCTATAAAAGGAAAAAGCATTTCGAAAATAACAAAATGGTTAAGTTTGAGGCCTCCATTTGATGACACTCTGAAATTTTCAATAAATAAGGTTTATATGGAAAAAGTTGCTGGAGAGCAAGGCCTTGCTCTCCAGCAACATTTTCCATACAAATCCTCTAAATTTTCCGAAAGTTCAAACCGCTGTAAAAACAGTGCTCTGTAATTCCCGGGGCCCAAACTTGGCTCTTATGCTATTTTCGATATGCTCTTTCCGTCTCTGGTATTCTTCAAGTTGTATCCCATAATATATATCTAAAATTGATCACGTGACCCCAGCTGCAAAAGGCCTATTCTACTCTTAAATTGCCTTGTACTTCCTTTTGAACAGAGGGATGAGTTAATGCTGCATCTTTGATTCCAGGAACCCCCTTAAATTTGGTAATGGGTAGATGTAAATGTTAATCTATCTAGCCAAACATGAGGAAGATATGAGATGTAAGACCATAAAATATATTTGTAACTCTATTACTACATTTGTTAACTCATTAAAAGAATTAGCAGATGGTTATTTCAGTAAACTTTCTAAGTGCAAGGAAATACATTAAGTGAGCTTCATAACATTTTTACACAAAATTTTACTAAAATCAATATTCAGTCTGTTATGTTTAGCCAAAGACTTGATGAATAAAACGTCAATTACAAAAATGACCTAACTAAAATCTGAAGTAGGTTTTTATACATGTACAACTCCCTAAAAAATTGTATAAAACTATCTATTTAAAATTATCTCAATTAGGCTGCTGCATAAATTTACAAAATGTATGATATAACGTATGTCAAAGCCGTCTAACTCTGTCTTTACTTTTCTGACTTCCAATACTCTCGTTGTTGAGTTTTCTAGATCTAAGTTTTGGAGCCCTTCTGCTGTTGTAAGATAATCCATCACATGGAGTTTCACTTTGATGATGATCAGAATCTCTCAGGCAAACTGAACAGAATGTTAGCCCACATTTCTGACACTGACAGTGACCATCTTGTGTTTGCGACAGATTTGAAGGTGAGACACATCTTGGACAAGGTCTTAGTTGAAGTGTCTGTTGCGACAATGGATGGGAGCTAACTGGAGTTGTAACATGGTTGTCATGTACTTTTGAGCTCTTCTCTTCAGGTTTATTGATGTCAACACATTTTAGAGGCAATCCTTTGAGATTATTGGAGGATGACCTCTGAGAAGGCATACCATAGTTTTCCTGTAGAAAGATGGATATTGTAAAGTGAACTTACATAGTATTTCACTAGCTATAGCATCCAACAGTTGGATGCAACTAACTTTTCATCTAGGTTTACTTTCTTTCGATCTTGAAAAAGATAGGTTGTGAGAACTAGTTGAAATAAATTAAAACGGAGAATAAAAAAGAAATTAAAAGTTTACGCTTGAGGTTGGCAGGTCGTAACCACAGTATGAGTAATTTAAAGTGCCAAGCTTAGCTAGCAGTTTGATGTTTACTGTAGTTTACTTGTAATAACACAAGAACTATGTATTTTGTGAGCTCTTTTAGCTTCTTGATGACTCAAATGTTTAAAAGAAGCCTCAAGTATTTATCTACAAATTCAAAAGCTACGCAGAAAAAAAAAATTGACTGATTACCTTTCCCTTGAGAGCACAGTGGTTTTTACGATCTCTAAGGAATCCTTTCCACCTCGTGCTTGTTTTTGTGTCTCCATTCACAAAATTCCTCCAAGTCCGATTCACTGAAGCGAACCTAGACACACAGAGAAGCTGATGAATTTCAGGTAAAACAAAGTAGTCGCTTAAGACGACGCTGAATTTCATGAGAATGGTTGATCGGCAGTCAAAAGAGGGACTTCAATTAACTCATTAGTATCGCGACAAGGGATCGCAGAGTGATTTTCATTCATGCATGATTCACTTCGACAGCATAACGACAAATTTAAAAAAACAACAAACAACAAGTTAAAACCTTACCTGCATAGCTCAGGAGGTTCCAGATAGCTGCAGATTTCCTGGCAAATCTTGTTGCCGTTTACTGCAAGAAGATCAGAGATGAAATCCACGCTTTTAATTCCAATCAGCCTTCCGATAATACGGTCCTTTGGCATCAAAGGTGACCGATTAAGGCTTTGCTGCATGGATTCCTCCTGATCGCTCTCAGCCAGTTCAAAATTAAGCTTAGGAAACCCATCAAGGGCTATCGAATGAACCTGAGAGATCGATTCTTTTTCTTGCGAACACGGTGGAGTTAGGAAAATTGACGATGGCGGCGAGTCGAAGCAAGGAGTCAGCCGATCACGTAGAAAGTTGCCCGGCGATTCCGGCGACATAAAACAACTTGGTAACTGAGGTAAATTTCTCTTTTTCTTGTGATCTCTATCTGTTTCCTCCATGACTAACAAAGACTGTTGTAGATTTGCAGCAGACTTTAGGGTCACCTATGTTTCTAGGTAGATCCCGTTGTTGTAGGTCGTTGTTGTGTATTTATGCGGCTGACGCTAAAACTTTTGAGTGAACCGCCAAAATGCACCGCAACCGAAAGCCAATCACAGCCTGTTATCTCTTCCCGCCAAAATTGCATTATGCGGCGCGAAGCCGCTGCTCTCTCGAGCCGGTCAGTTACAGCAAATAAATATATCTACATACAGACATTATAATTAAATAGCTGTTGGATGACCAAGCAACAGGAATGAACTTCCCTTATGATAAAGGCCACCAGAAACTATATATATGAAAACGAGAACATAAATAAAATATGCATAATGACAGGCAGTATCAGAAAACGATTATAGTAATATGCTACATGTTAAAACTTACTTTAGTGCTAACTAAAATTAAATAACAATTACATTAAATTACTGCTATCAATAGCAAAACAGTAGAGTCTTCGGTAATATTTTAACATAGAAAGTGATTCCCTTCTCCTAATAGAAATAGGTAAATTGTTCCAAATTCAAACAACTTTTCTTATCTGCTCTTTCGCAATTCTTTCTTTTTTTCCACATGTAGCCCAAGCTCTTATAATGAGCCTCCAGGTGTATGCAAATACGTTTCCGTTGCGCAAGCGGCGCAATGTATCAACTTGATGGAAACTAACGGTCGCTTTCTTTACGTTACATCTGAAATGTTGTTGAATTAACACGAAACTACCTCGCTTGTTTGTTTCTAGGCACTGTGTGGATTTTCTGGGCTGATCTTGGGCCGTTTAGTGCGGTTCAACTTATATTTTGCCCTTGGTTCAGTAGACCTTCGATTCTTGGTCATTGGCAACGCTAAAGCCATTTGTGTGCGGTGAACGGGTGTCTTCACACGCTTGCCTTCACACGCTTGCAGTGGGTTTTCAGGTTTTTTTACTTTCGAGTAAGACACGCCATAAAACACGCTTTCATGATTTGGAAAACAAATTACCAGAGTTTGATGAAGCCGTTTACAGAAAAAAAATTTGTTCAGATTGTATCTCAAAAGGGTTCAGACAGTCAGACCGTCTAAGGTTCCTTGACTTCTGGATGTAGTAATTTTCTTTATAGTTACTTCTCGCACCTCACCACAGAGTTCACGGGACAACTTGATATTTTCTCGCTGGGGCGGAAGGGTACTCTTAGTCGATGTTTAGAGCAAGAGCAGGGATTCATATCGACATCGTTCGAACGTGCGCCAGAATTCCAGGAAGATGAATAATTTCCTATTTTGAACATTGATGTTTACCGGTAGAGGTGGAGAAAACGAAACGAAATGCAAGTTTTGACTAAAAGCGGAGAGAACAGACTTCCCAACTCTAATGTCCGGGGAGGCAATCAAAGCAGTAACACAAATTCATAAGATACTTTTTAAATTGATGAAACAACTTTATTGATCATTCATATAACTCGTCAAATCCATGATAAAGAGAACAAAAACTGGTTTTGGTTTCTTCAAATGTTAAGTCTTATCCGGTTAAGAGTGAACCTTGAGAGACAGACCGACACGTTTCAGTTCTTCATCTCAGTGGTCTTTTCCTTGGCATTGTGGGCACGCAACACTGACACTGCTTCCTGAATCTTGGCAGCCAGTGCTTCCCGTGAATCTAACATATGCAGCAACTCAGCATTGTCAATTTCCAGCAACATGCCAGTGATCTTACCAGCTTGATCTGGGTGGGTCTGCTGGATCAGAGGAAACAAATGCTCTCCTAACATCTGTTTCTGCTCCTGAGCAGTGGCTGCTGCAAGCGCACTTGGGTCAATGGAGTTTTGTGCCTAAAAGGAAGTGAGTCAGAAAATTAATAAATGACACACACACCACAGTTTATAATTCCGTAAACACAACCTAAAACAAACCCAACTAGGAGAAGTGACTGCACATAAAACTCAGGGAATACAAAAGGCGACCAAACTCAAACCCAACAGCATTAAACCATTTAAAATGGTGGAATAAACTTGTCAAGCACTAAGGAGCAATTAAACAACCTATTGCTCTTCCAATTTTTTTCTCAACTCAGCCTTAGATTCTCTCTCCTCTTGAAGGAGCAAATACAAGTTTATCCCTTGAGCTTTGAGCTCTGAGCTCTGAGCTCTGAGCTCTGAGCTCTGAGCTCTGAGCTCTGAGCTTTGAGCTCTGAGCTTTGAGCTCTGAGCTCTGAGCTCTGAGCTTTGAGCTCTGAGCTCTGAGCCTTGAGCTCTGAGCTTTGAGCTCTGAGCTCTGAGCCTTGAGCTCTGAGCTCTGAGCTCTGAAGAATCAACAGTGAGACACCAGAAAGTTTACTTAAAATAGAAAACATGGAGATTTCAATCTTTGGCAAACTGAACTACAGCCGAAGGTTCAATCCTTAAACTGAAGTTTCTATGTTTCAAACCCTTTCTCTTGCATAGGGGCATTACCCCAAGTAAAGGTTTTGATGATAAATAACAGTTAATCAAGATACTCACTGGGAGAGGGATGGGCTGTTGAACCTGATCATGTGGTTGCATGGCCATTCCTGCTGGGTGTCCCTGTGCAGGCTGGTTACGCACATTTTGCTGGAACTTGTACGCAGGTCTCTGGCCCTGACCCTGCATGCCAGGGCCACGCACCTGTTGTGCTTGGCCCATGCCTCCTCCCACACGTTGGTTAGGACCTCCAGCCCCTGCAGTCTGTTGCTGGCCAGGCACTCCTCTGGGTGGAACCTGACGGATGCCTCGAGCACGTGGAACCTGTCCTGCTCCTGGCATTCCTTGCATTCCAGGTTGTCGCACCTGCTGCTGTGGCTGCATTGGCTGCCAACGAGGGCGTACTTGTTGCATTTGTGGTGGAAAGAATGGGCGCTGCCCAGCCTTTTAAAAAAAAAGTTAAAACATTCAGGTTGGCATATTTTCTTTCATTTTATCAAAATCTCCTACAGAGATATTCTTAAATCTGATTAACAATTCTCCCTTTTATAACTGATACCTTAAATGAAATTAATTAAAAGAAATCAAAGTTATACATGCCATGGCTGACAAGTCTGCATGCCCAAATAACAGTAGTTTTAGGATAATAGATTCATAATGTAAGAAGTTATGTATAGTAACAAGTTAAACTAAGCCAGTCAGCTCGTCTAGAATCTTCTGTAATATTGAAACAATGTTGCTCTTAGCAAAAGGGATCTCTCATTAAGACTGATCTATAATCTTCACTTTTGGCTTCAAGTCTAAAGTCTTTGAAAATTGACACAACAATCAGAAGAATGATTGCACAAAAAAACGAAAAAAAGGCTTGGAGACTTCTGAAACTCCATCATCTTCTCCTTTCCCGATTATTTTGTATATTGGATAAAACATTGACTAAGTCCTTGTTCCATCTACCCTTCCAAATTACCATCTTAACAATATCAAGACAACTATATACACATGTACAGTACTCATGTAGTTCGCCAGCATTTTGTAAAGTCTTGTTACCTGAGCCAAAGGCTGCATGTAAAATGCCCCTGCTTGAGGGAAAACCTGCCCAACTTGTTGACCAGCTGCCTGTAAAGATAAAAGAAATTATATGAACAAAATTAAACCAGATATGCAAGAGAAACTGTTGCCCAAGTTGTCTGATCATCCTTCTGAAATGAAGTGTTGATGAAATCTGTGATCATATTTCCAGTAAGAGCAGAGGTACTCATCTAGAGTCACATGAGTCAGATACATGTTGCCATGTTCAGAAAAAAGCTTGGCCTCACCACTTAATACATTTGACAAGCAACAAAGATGTTGGAAATGTTCCTGCCATGGGACAGACAGAGTGCTAGGTTTACACAGCAATCTATCGCAGAAGTACAGGCAAACTTTCTGCCCACTATCAATTGTCCACACCCAGAACTGAAAAGGGTGTAACAATAAACCACTGGGCAATAAGCCACACTTCCCTAGGCCATGATCAAACATTGACCCTTGCATTTAAAGTATTGTTTACTTGGGAAACAAAATAACTTGTTCAAATCAATTTTGAAGAGAGATGAGAAGGTTAAGAGTCAGTGATTGTCAATCTAATCTGTTAAAATACTTTTCAGTGCAATAACTCCATCGTATTTGTATTTTTTATTTTTTTCAAGCATAGATGCTATGACAAACAAAAACTCGCCCACAAAATGTGACATTTTGATGACTGGCTAATTGGTCATCTTGTATCAACACATAAAACTTTCCTACAGGAAAGAGTAGTGTTGTCAACCCCAGGAACCTAGAACCTCAGAAACCCAAAATCTAAACTGAATAGGCTCACCCAAAGAAACCCATGGATACAGAATAACAGGCAGAGAGTACAAATAAAAAAATTTCAGCTTCAGTCATGGTGTCATACCATACCTGTTGCATTCTCAAACCAGCAATACGTTGCATGTGCTGTGCTGCCAGCTGAGCCTTGCGCTCCTCCTTACGTTGGGCCAGGGCTACATACAAAGGTTTGGATACCAGAATCCTTCCATTCATCTCGGTTACAGCTTTGGTGGCTTCTTCAGGAGCAGAGAAACACACAAAACCAAACCCTAAAATGAAACAAACAAGTATCCAACACTGATTTTTTTCCACAATTACAATCGGCATCAAAATTTGTCAACACACAGAATAACAGTCCTGTTTCCAAGTATTTTATTTTCCCTCCATTTGAACAAATTAGAATCCAATGAATAATTACAACAGAACTTTTTTTTTATTAGGGTCCACTTTCAAAACAAAAAAATCCCCACCAAAACAAAACATGCCGATCTCATTGCCTTTTTTACAGCAGGATACTTGGTATCATATGATAGACATGCCAAGGGATGCAGTCAAACAGGCCTCCTGCCACTGAATATTGGGTTCTCAAATCTATAACATACAGTTCTTTATGGATGAAAAAATATACCGCTATCCTTATTTCTACCATGGAATTCAACCATCTACGGCATTTTGAGAGAAAAGAGGCATTTTTTATTTCCTTTAGTGAGATGTGTGGAGGACCTGAATATGAAATGGCAACTTACCCCTGGAATTGTTCTTATCGTCCATCATAACC